AGGCAACTTTGTTTGCAGGCACCTGTGACCAGATAGCTGCAGAACTTCAACGACTATGCCATTGCGATGAACCTCACCAACGACTTGAAAGTGGCCTTCCTCGCGAGGCTCAGACCTATCCTCCAGCACTGGTCAAGGCTATCATCGATGGTCTACTACAAGAATGGCTTGATCAACAGCAAGGCCGACCATCTAAGCTGCCTGACCTTGGTGACCTGGAGCAGTGGTGTGATGAACTTGATCGCCAACCTTTTCATTGGCGCGAACTTCATGGAATGGCAGTGCTGGTGATGCACAAGCCCACAAAGATTCCACCACATGGTCCCGGACACCGTCGCCTTCGCTGGACGTGGTGCAAGAATCCATATGATGGCAAATGGCTTCAGCTTGAACGTGCTCGAAGTGGTAAGCCACCTTCGCTGGAAGCCAACTACTCCTATGCGGTGTGCCCTTTTCAACATCAAGCGCTTCCACAACATGTTTTTGCAGAAGATGCACCAAAGAGCAAGATCTCTCGCAATGAGAAGATGATGGTGCTCCGTGCTCACGTGAACTTGGCACCCGCAATGACGTCATCGAGTATGTCCTCAAGGAGTTTGAATGCGCGGGTTGCATGAAGGAGAAAAGACAACCGACGCGGTTGCCAGCGTCGACCCACGATTTCAATGTGGTCATTGGCATTGACCTCCTGTTTGTGACTGGAGCTTCACCTCTCGAAGAGCATCCCACCCTGAATGTCACGTGTGTTGGAACACTGTACTCCACCTTTTCCTTGGTGCGTGCCAACCGCAGATCCTCTGCATTGGTTTGGTCAACCTTTCTGCAATGTTGGTTGCGTGTGTTTGGCGCGCCTTCCTTTATGATCCTGGATCAAGGACTTGAAGTCGCAGGCCAATTCATCAACGGCTTGGAAGACCATGGCGTGCAGCCGATCCTGATCGACCGCAATGCACCGTATCAAAACGGTGTATGTGAAAGACGTGGTGGCCTTTTCTCAAAGAGCTTTACTACAAGACCAGAGAGCTTCATCAACCGGCTGATCTTCAAGAAGTCCGGGATCTTGTTCATGAATGCAGCTGGGCTTTGCAGACCCTCGCCAATCGTTCGGGCTACTCACCTGCCCAGAGGGTATTTGGTCGACAGCCAAGTTTGGCTATGGAATTGCTCAGCGACGGCAATCAGGTTGAACTGTCCCAGACTGGAGATGAAGCTTGGAAAAGATCTGAGGCCATCCGACTTGCTGCACGACGAGCCTTGGTTGAGATTGGCCGCGACCGATTGAATCGCGCGATCCGCGCGAGACCCCGACGAGCCCGAGAAGATCTTCATTTTGAAGAAGGTGAACCAGTCTATGTTTGGAGACAGGGCAAGAGGGGCTATCAAGCAAAAGTTGGACCATGCTACGTTGTCCTCCAGAAGGGCGATACTGTGTGGGTGACGCGCAGAAGTGAACTGTGGAAATGCAACAAGAGCCAAATCTTCAAGATGAGCAACATGGACAAGCAAGGGCTAGAATCTGTCCCACGAGAGCTCTTGAAAGCAAAAGAGAGATTGAAGTTTGACAGTGAGAAGCTGGGCTACATCGATGTGTCCAAGGAGGGTGAACCTGTTGTCAATGAAGATGGACACCCTGTGGTTGAAGGAGCCCAGATTCACCGGCGAGTTCCGCCGACGCCTCGAGTACCCCCTGAAGGATCCAGAACACCGAATCCTTCAGCGGCGCCACAGACACCTTTGCCGGCGCCAACTACACCTGGTCCAGTTCCTAGCGCTCCAGCACCTTCAGGTTAAGTTTGCGACGTGAGCGTTCAAGGACTCCACCTAAAGGACCAGTCGTGATTGTTGATGATGACGACCAACCGCCGATTGTGATCGAGGAGCACACTGGCAAGAAGGGGACTACAACCTTGACTCCTTCCAGGCCGACTCCACCGATGCCGGAGACTGTGCCTACCTCAGAACCTATCAGGCCACAGCCTATGGCTCCTGCAGCTGTGGAACCCACAAGATCGACTACAGAGACACCATCCACTTCATCGTCTTCTGCCTCCAAGCCAATGAATGATGCAGATGAGCTTTGGAAGGCGACCTTGGAGAAATCCAAGGACACTGGAGATGTTGATCGTGGAGAAGCTGGTGATCTTCGCCAATGGACAAGATATGACGTCGAAGCCAAGCGCTTCAGAGGAAGCAACAGCCACGGTCCTCTCTGGGGCGATGTGTTCAGGCGAATCACCGTTGACCTGGACACCAACAATGTGGTGGCTGATGAAGAAGTGACACCTGAGATGACCATCCACAAGGTGCACAAGAAGCTTCCTGAGGGCATCCGGTCCATCGAGACAACTTTGATCTACCGCCGGCGACCTGGACATCCTGATCTCGGCAAACCATGGCCGACAGTGGAGACCGCTGAGCCTCCCAATAAGAAGAGTCGTGATGAAGAACCTCCAGAAGATGCTCGACTCATTGATGAAGGCCTCAAACGAAGCCTAGATGGACCTGCTCAAAATCCACGGGCAGCTACGAAGAGCAAGCTCTTTCCCACGCGGCGTGCAGATGAAAGGACTGAATGGGGCAACAAGTCTGACTACCCCATCGTGGTCAATGCACGCGACTTGAACCTGTTCAATAAGGTCGAGAAGACCGACGTGTTCTACTTCCTACACGACCTGGATAAGCCCATCACCTACTTGACCAAGCAGAGTGGAAAAGAGCTGGATGAGCGAAAGCTGCCTGAGCATGAAAAGAAGATGTTCAACGATGCCAAACTGCTCGAGATTCAGAACCTCATCAACTCCAACAGGATCATGCCTTCGCGCTACCTCATCATCAAGAAGACCGGTGGACCGGTGATGTTGGAGAAGGCTGGAAAGCCAAAGCTCGTTGGCTGTTACTTGGGCATAAAGATCCTGATGCCTTGGAGTTGGAGCGCTATGCACCTACACCTTCCTCCACAACTGTGATGCTTTGTTTGCAGGCGCTGGCCTCCATGAACTTTCGACTGCGCATTATGGATGTCAGCAGCGCCTTTGGACAGTCAGACCCTCATGAGCGGTCGCAAGGACCTTTGTTTGCCACCATGCCTCCAACTGGCATTCCTGGCTATCCGCAGAGCGCCATCATCAAGGTGCTCACGGCTGTTTATGGTTTGGTGAACGCACCTGCCGTGTGGCGCAAGACCGTGCGTCGACTGTTGATCTCCCTCGGCTACAATGAGAGCATCTTTGATCCGTGCTTCTACTACCTCAAAGCCAACCCGGAGGAGATCAAAGAAGGTGCAAAATTTTCAGTTGCTGGCGTCGTCCTGCTTGACGTGGACGATTTTTGCCAGGGCGGCAACAAGCGCCATGATGAACTGATGGCTCAACTTCGGACCAAGCTCAAGTTCGGCAAGTGGCGTGATGTTTATGGTGATAGCGCTGACTACATTGGTCGCACGCTGACCCAGAAAGAAAACTTCGAGATTGACATCAGCATGAAGCGCTACATCGAGACCAAGTTGAAGCCGGTCACTTTGCCCAAGGAGCGGTTGCGCCAGAAAGCAGAGCCTCTCAATGACCAAGAGGTCACTTGGCTACGTGGTGTGGGCGGCTCTTTGCTTTGGGTTTGGAAAGGAGGGCCGACCTGATGTTGGAGCGGCGTGTGCAATGGCTATGAGCTGGAGCTCCAACGGCCCGACCATCGAGCACATCCTGATGGCGAACAAAACTGTGTCCGAGTTGAAGCAAACACCTGATGTGGTGATCCGGATCCAGCCCATTCCTCCGGAGCGCGGGATCTGGATGAGCGTGGCTGACGCCTCAATGGCGAATGTGGAAAACAAGTCTCAAGGCGGCTTCATCATTGCCTTCGCCGATTACATGATCATGGAGGGCAATGAGGCCGACTTCTCCATCAACAGCTGGCGATCCCATCGCCTCAAGCGTGTGGTCAAGGCCACTTTGGGCTCCGAAGCCTTGGCTATGGATGGATCCGTGCCTTGTGGCACGAGATCATGGATCCATCCTCCTGTGTGATGGACCGGACTCGCCTTGGTCCTGAAGCTTCGGTGCTGGTCATGCGCCGACCTGAAGATGAAAGCCGGGCGCCTGAGCTTTATGTTCAGGATGATGATAAGGGCATCCATGTGACGGATGCAAAAGCTTTGTACGACCTGCTCCACCGAAGGTCAGGAAATGCCGGTCAGGACAGAAGAGCCCAGATCGATGTTTCGGTCATCTACACGTCCGCCAAGCTGTTGAATGTGACCACCTACTGGGTGCCAGGCCACATCATGATTGCCGACCCACTGACGAAGAGACTTGGCAACTCCACGCTGCTGCGTAGGATCATGGCCCGGGCTAAATATGCCCTGAGGAAGCAACCGGTTCATGATGGACCCCCCGAAGGATGTGAAACGAAGGACCATGACATGAGCCCTGAACCGGTTGTCGCCTCCGCCGCCGTTTGACCCCAACTGGCCACAGGGCCCTTGAGCCGCTTTCGAGCGAAAGTCCGCATCCGCTGCGCCATTCCGCAGTTCTTCACATCGTATTTGTGCAAATACTAAGTTTAACTTCGTAACTTGCAAAATACTAAGTTAACTTCGACGTTAGACCCCTGGGTATATATATATATTATGCTATATAAACACCTTATAAAGCGTTTGACCAAAGACTGTTGGCTGGCTTAAAACTCGGAGGCCATTGAAAGAAAACCATATGTTTGCATATGCTTGTTCTTTCGTTCAGGGCAGCACATGGCACATGAGGCTTGTACACTATTTCAGGGTGTCCAAAGACTTGGTCTCGTCATCATCAAGATGGCCCACCCAGTAAAAGGCCTCGGAAAGTGCTTAGGGAACGAAATGGAGTTCATGTTGATGTAAGATGATGTAAGAAACCCTGCACCTTTTGACAGAACAGCATATCTATGGGGTTGAGGTGTTTGTCAGCTGTTTTGTGTTTGTTGGAACAAAGACACATGCCCATAACCTCTCACAGTGACGTGAGCCCAAGGATTGCTACATCCAGATATTTTTGCCAATGGGGGTGGGACGAAGCCCACTGAGTTGGAAATCAAGGCACACAAGTTGTCGAGTGGTCACCGCCGTAGTATTTGATGAGACACAGTTGGGTAGAGATTCAGAAGTCAACGAGCAAAGCTAGCGGACGGGAAAACAGTTGTCATCAGTTGTCAGTTGTCATCCACTTGCTTGAGAAAGGAAAACGCACTATTGCAGGGAAGAAATCCCATGTCACTTGCGCTATGTGTGATTAATGTATTTGGTACCAGCTTTTCCTCAACACTAGCGGGTCGACTAAGTCGTAGCCACAGCTGAAGGTGATCAGACTCACACATCTCCTTCAGTTCAGCTCCTTTCTGGCGAAGCGAATGAACAAGATGTATATAGATCTATCATGATCTATCAAGCATTAACAGTTCGAGCATGTTCGAGCCTCCTTTGGAGCATGACACACCAACTCCCTCTCCAGCATGGTCCGACCCGATGTGTTTTCCGGTCGGATCTCTCGTGGTGGCGCGGCGCGGTTCAGCGCTGCGACGCGGAAGCGCTCGTCCCAGGTGTGTGCGCAGTTGGGTATTCAGATGGTGGATGGACTTGGAATTCAATTGCTCTCGCTGACGCCGTACACGCAGCACTATGATTGGGGTGAACTGGCTGAAGACAAGAGACTAGTGCTGGCCATTTTCCATGTTCAGCGTGAATTTTCCATGTTCAGCGTGACATATACAGGCTATTGCTTTCATCACTAGACTTTGTTGGCATTCATCAGGGCAAGGACTTCTTGCTCTATGATTCAACATGTGACGTTGGAAATGTTGATAAATGAGCCTGGCAGTCGATATCTGTAATAAGTAATATGTGTTTTGCTGTGGTAAAGGTTCGATTTTAACACTTAGAGGTATAAAGCTCTTCGGAAGCTTATCAGTGAATCAGCGCGCCACCGTCAACCGTGGCTGCTCATGAGTAGAAGGGCTATTCTTTAAAAAATACCTGATTGCATGGACATTATCAGATATTGCAGTCCAACAGTGGCAATCTGACAGCTTTGGTGCATGAGGCAAGCCTCGCAATGCGAGTATTATTGCAGCTCTCACCGGGCAGCAGTCACCCGAGCACGACCCACAGGCCGACCCCCCGGGACGAAGTAGGCCTTCATGTTATTCCTGAAGAGTTAGGGTGTATCCCCTTACCAGTAACAGTCGGTAAAAGATTATGACTACTGTATATCACAAATTGCCAGGATATACCCAAGCAGGAAGAGTTTTTATGAATTGTTGTCAACCATCATCAGCAACCAGCAGGATTCAAAGGGTTGCATTGGAACATGAATCAGTCAGCTTGACCGAACTGAGCCGCATTCACCCGATCTCCCAGGACGATAGCAAGCCCTTTGCTGAACTGTGGATGGGTGACCATCCGTCTGGGCCTGCTCGGGTAGAAAGCCCCAGCAATGAAAAAGCAATGAAGAAGAAGAGTCCGAAGCTGGGTCGCACGGTTCAAAGATGTTCAAAGGGTTTGTATCGAAGATGATCCAAATCATCATTGTTTGGTCTGACAGAGTCTGAGAGGTTGCTTCTGTAAACAGCCTTCAAGATCAATTAAGACTTGTGTTGAAGGTTTTACCGGTCGGTTGCGCTCCGGGACATGCAATCCTCCGTTTCAGCTGCTGCCGATTGCGCTCCAAACCATGTTAAACGAGGGCCAGCTCTTGCTGAGAGATGGAAAAGAGCATAGAGGTTTCGCAGGTCGTTTTCTAAATGCAGTCCGTATTAATCTACAATACTCTACAAAAATCATCAACAATCTACATAGTATCAATCATTAATGATTGATCATATATGATCATATAAGATATATAGCACTATATAGCAACATATATATATATACTTTTATACTTATACGTGCAACATCATATTCGGCCACTGGAAGTGCGACAGAATTGTTTGATTTTTTTGTCTCAGGTGCTGTTGTTTTTACAGTTGGTTGCTATTTGGTGTCTATGCTGATGTAATTATCATTCTTGAGCCTTCCCCTCTCCTCCTCATCCGCTTGGCAACTAAACGCGAGCGACAGAATAAATAAACCTTGTGATTTCTATATGGAGGGGGTTGTGCAGGGTGTAACTGACTTCAAGAGTCTTCAACAAACAAACGAATGCAATAATCATCGTTGGACGCTCTATCCGGGTTTGAGAAGAAAAGTCGCAAACACCCAAACGTGCCCGGTGGCTCAGTGATTCGCTTTCTTGACTTTGAGCAGAACTTGTTTGAAAGCTTGCGTGTGCTTCAGAGACAGAGTAAGTAACATTTTTGAATATCCAAATAGCTGGAATCTTACTTGGAATTCTGAAGTCTTGGAGCTCAGCAACCCTATGTATGACTCTGGAGCTAAGCCCCGATTGAGACTTTTTCCGCCAGTAGCTATGAAACAAGGTGAGCTGCCCACACGCTTTCGAGAGACGCTGCCGGTGCTGGTGCTGGTTCACGTTGTGAAGACAGGGTGCCGTGTGAGGTGGGTGTGAGGATTGTCGAGGGTAGTGTGGTGGCGGTGCTGGGCGCCGGTGCTGAGCTGGCTGCGCGTGCGGGTGTTTGCTGGCGGCTGTGTTTGCGGCTGTGTATCGAACTGATATGTTTCAACATGTTGAATTGTTGTGCGCGTATATGTTTACGTGCAACGTCATGTTCCATATGGCTACGGCCAAAAACAGGCTTGGATCACACACCCAAACCCACACACGATCCATACCTCGATCCATGGGGTATGGATCAAAAGGTGGGTGTGTGATCCAAGCCCTTGGATCACCACCACCACTACTACAACCACCTCTGCTGCCACCACTGCTACTGCCACTGCACTTGCCACCTGCTGCTACTACTGCAACAGCTTTACTGTTGCTGCTACTGCTACTCACTACTATCAGCAGTATTACCACCACCACAGATTTAGCGGAAGCCACTAGACTCAACTTCAAATTGACTTCCCATTCCAGCCAAAAGTAATTACCGGAAGCCACTAAGTGTGGTCACAGCCGGGACTCGAACCACCACTACTACAAACCACTACTACAACCACCTCTGCTGCCACCACTCCTTCTGCTACTTTGCCTGCAACAGCTTTACTGCTGCTGCTACTGCTACTCACCACTATCACCAGTATTACCACCAGACTCAACTTCGAATTGACTTCCCACTCCAGCCAAAAATTAATTACCGGAAGCCACTAAGCGTGTTCACAGCCGGGACTCAAACCCTCTCCCTGTGGACGTGAAGAATTGGAAGCCGACGTCTTTACCATTAGGCTATGCAACCCTTTGAGGGGAGGAGCCAACCCAACTAACCCATATTAAATAAGGTGCCAGAACACAATATTAAGGCCAAATAGAATTAGCGGCAGCCACTAAATCAGTTTTCGGAGCGCGCCTCCAATCTAGAGTTAAATGTCTTGAAAGCCCACTGAGTCACCAATATGCGCGGCCAGCTGATTGCCCAATATGTGGACAGTGGAGCCCAAATTCACAGCGGCCAGAACTTCAAAACATGGCTTTGATCTGGGAAGCCACCACCTTCACAGTGAATTGGTGAGAAAGTGGTGGGGTGAAGTGCCACCATGCAGATGTGTTCATGTTGGGGGCTTGGATCAAGTGACTTGTCGGTTTGATCCATAGGGCTTGGATCAGCGCTCTGATCCATAGGGTTTGAATCACTCTCACTGCAGCGCGGAACGATCCATACCAGGGTTTCTGGCCACACCCATATGTTTGTACGCATATATCTATATGCATAATATATGGTATAGACAAGATATCACAGGCCTGTGAAAGAGGTGTATTTCAGCCAGATCAACCGTTCCTTAGATGGTGCACAGATGGTTTCAAGCGCGGTCACCAAACCGTTACACTGAATCTTCACGCCATCAGTTTCACAAATTGTACACCAACTCAATAAATCTGCGAGAGAGAGAGAGAGAGAGAGACAGAGACAGAGACACAGACAGAGAGAGGCCCTCGAAAGTTCAATATCCTTTCAAAGGCAACTAATTTTGCCTTATTTGGGCGTGTTGTGCATTCTACACAATGGCATAGCTTTATGAATCTGTCCCGTTTGTAATCACCAGAAATTTCACGTTAGTCCCAGTCGGGATAGCCGCCTTTTTTGACGGGTTTTGAAACCAATTCGGATGTTTCTGCCTTTGGAAGCTCTATGACTCTATGGCCCCTATTCCCCCAACCCTGTGTTGCATAGTGTAAGGAAACGTAATTGTAGTGAGGGTTCATCCAATCATTCTTCGGTTCATGGCCAGGTTCTTGAGTGATGGACTTCCACTAGACTAGACACAGTTTCATCATTTGAATCAAGTTTATTGGCCTTTGTTTGAGGCCATTGCAATACCTTGACCTGACCGGGCACTAGTTTGACCTGTGCCTCCAGCCTTGAACCTTTCCCCATATTCTTCCCGGGCACAACATCCGAGCCCCAAAAAAGTCTCCCGGCTAAAAACAAGAAAAGCAAAACGCATCCAAACAGCCAGCACGAAACCGCGCTGAAACAGACCGGAAAAAAAAAAACAAAGCAGACCTGAAAATCGGTCTGAGGATTTGCAGGGCCGCGTCCTTGCAAGAAGTCATGCATCGATCACCCTCGATGCTGGGTCAACTCTCGGAGTCTAAGCAGCTCCCGTTCCTACTCAAGGCGGAGCATGTGGAGCACGTGCTCGTGTGCTCCCCCCGCCCGCGGAGTCGCGTCAGGGACCTTCGTTTTACACTGACCCCATTGGTTCGCTTTTTGTGAAGCTCAAGTCAGGCGACACAGCGGGGGGGTGTCAAAATGTGTTTAAAATCCTTTACAATGAAGTGTTTCTTTTAGTGGTCTAGTAGTCGTGGGCTGAGCGGGCTCGAGCAAAAGCAAACATCGGGTGAGCAAATTCTTGACTGCTTGCAGGAGTAAACCATACTCAAGAGCGTAGAGAACCTCGAGTTTTGGTATTACGGACGCCAACAATGAACCCGTAAGCCGCTCTTCCTAGTCCCAATATAGCACCCATTATTCGCAGAATCAGAAGAGCGTACTCAGCCACTTCTCATGAATTGCTACATGCTTCCCTTGCAGAGTCATTCGAAGAGACGGGAATCTTCTCTCACGCTGGCAGAGTCTCTCACGTGCTGGAATTGATTTTTGGGGATCCCTGGCTGGCAGGTCTTGTCAATCCACAAGGCCCTGTCCATTCAAGCACATCCTGATAAGCAAAGAGCAGCCAAGCTCCACGCTGCGACTTGGTCGAGAGGGTGAGCCTTGTGAGATTCTCGGCAGGGGTGCTTTGGATGGCTGCAAAACACAGGGGCAGGCAGCGCTGACAGCTGCTTGTGGCATTTTGTGGGGCTTTGTTGCTCAAAGAACTGAGGTATTTCTTACAAAAGGAATTCAACAGGAGATTCAACAAGTAGCTTCTCAGAAAGAATGGGAGAAGCACAAGTGATCCAAAAGAGAAGGAGGAACCAAATTATTCATCGTTCCATCCAATTAAACAGTTCGTTCAAAGGGTGGGATTATGGTCTTATGGTGGAAGGTTTTTGTTATTCGATACCATTTGACAAATCAAGTTGCAACATTAACATTCAATATTGAGTAAGACTGGTGAAAAAAACGCTGCTTGTCCTCCCTCTTTTTACTTCAAGAATCTAGTCAGCCATGTGTGGTTTTGTTGTTTTCCCACTCAATGTGTTGGTAATGATGTTTGTGTGTTTGTGAAGTGTATTCTTCCCATGAGGACATCAGGTTCCTGGTTCAAGTGTGTTGATTCTGGCAAGACCTACACCAATCTTCGTTGTCATGACCATCAGTTGCTTTGAGGAGAAGCCAGATATCTATAAAGATGCCAACCACAAGCCTGAAATTGCCATTGCCTTGAGCGATGACTTCCAAGCCTTGTGTCCCTCGGATCCAGCATGATCCAGCCGTCGGTTCCCGTCGCTTCGATCATGAAGAGATTCCCGAACAAAACGACCAAATCATGGAGACGACCTCAGGGTAGCGACTTCCGGTCATCCTTTTTCACTCCGACTCGTCAGTTGACTCCTGACTCCACAAACGTTCATCGGGCGCGTGGGGCGCGTCGTTTGCGTCGTATGTCAGGTGGCTTCAGGGCGGTGACTGAAATCCTTGAGATGCTGCAGACCCTTGGCATTCGCCGGTACGATGTTACCACCGAAGCATGCACGCATGCACGCTTGCCGTCTGGGGACATGTGTGTGTCGGCGGGTCAAAGGGTCTAGAGGCCATCAAACAAGGATCCCCCTTGAAAAGATTTCGCATGCCTTGATATTCAGGGTGGAAGGGACTACCATGTACCTCGCCCTGGGCGAATTAGTGTTGGACCTCGAAATTACAAATCGAGACTGTTTTGAACCTTTGAGGCATGTGCCGGAGCTTGCTACTCTCATGGGAGGAGCCGTTCAGCAGTTAGAAGCCGCAGCAGGAGACGAAGAAAAGGAGTCCGAGGCCCGACTGCTCAGAAAAGACGGATGATCCAAAATACCGTAGAGTACCAGCACTTGGGCACTGATTGGGATCTGGCTCAAGGTCTCACAAAATCTTTCGGGTTGGTCAGTGTCACTCGAAAACACAGACTGTGTGGAAGACTCGTTTGTGGATGCTCTATGGCATTGTTATGGTGGTGCCATGAATGCCAAATTAATTTACGTTGCCTGGCCTGCGCCAGGCTCTGCGGCAAGGATATTCCAATGTGTGGCTCAGCTAGCAGCTAGAAGATGTGGCGAATTGCTCAAAGCCGGTATGTCATCCACGCGAAACACCCAGAAACGCTCCCTCTCTTGGCTTAAACAATGCATCCATCCTCCATATATATCCTGTCTCAACCATTGCATTCTGGCACCTAAGGATGCATTCTTCGGAAGATGAGCTGAAAAATCAGGTGCAAGCTCTTCATGACAGGGCCAAGATGGAAGCTTGGACGTCATAGGGTCCTAGTGGAGCAAGGCAACCACATTGAGTGTCTCAAAATAGAGGAACATCCCAATGAATGAAACTCATCAAGGTTTGCTGGCTTCTCATGGTGTGATATGTGAATGAAGAAAAGTCGGATGTCAAAGGTGAGTATGAGAAAACAAGGAATTCATACTATCCCCCATCCCACACACAGATGTTTCACTTTGCAGTTCGCTGTCAAGAATCGTGCGCTCCCAAGGTCGTCATGAAAGACGATTTGCACAAAAAAATCAAGGCCACCAGATGGTTCGGAAGTGGAAAGGGGTAAGCTGTAAGCTGGCCATTGATGGATGTTGAGGTCCTGGCAAGAAACGAACAGTGTGAACAGGGGGACGAGACACAGTAACGATATGCTCATGATCGTACTCATCTCAAAAGTGTGCAGACTCGGGTCATGCAATTGAAAGATATTGAAAGCACGACTCGACACCCCGCTGGAGTCGATTCAACCCCTCTGAGCTGGAGTCGGTCCATGCCGACGCCAGGATTGCTTCAGATTGGTTTGCCGCCTGGCACAGCCGGCGCAGCACGGGCGTAGTTCAATTCGGAATGATGGGCTCCTGGCACATGGACGCGGCGGTGACAAGAGGATCGATTGAAAAGACACCATCGAAGACCATTTTGGGGTCCTTGATATTTACCTTCAGGGGGTGAGTTTCCCTGTGAAATCAAGGCTTCAGGTGTTGAAGTTCTGCCAGACATAAATATGGATGTAGGACATGATGTTGGAAATGGTATTGGAGATGCTGTGGCGGGACATTGAAATCACTCATATTACTGTATACGCTTCCTGACAAGCGTGTCATGGTTGGATACATGCCCCCTTTGTCCAGTTTGCGGGGGGGGTTGGGCGTTTGTGTGGATGAAGCTGAGGCATGCTTTATGAGCAGTACGGAGTAGATGTAGGCCGGAGCCCGGGGCGGGCTGCGGGCGTTGGTATTGATTACAGTTTCAGCAAAACCGCCAGCAAATGCAGAGTGTGCATATGTGTCTTGCTCGTCACCCTGAGAGAGAAGTTTGTTGCACTGTGTCGACAACACGCGTCAGGGATATTTTCCGTCTTCTTTATGAACTATGTCTGCATGGGTGTGGGCGAATGTGCCTCATCTCAAGCTACCAGAGTGGTGTGCTTGCTATGTGAGACACGTGAGACAAGAGCTGAGAGCCATAGAAGAGTGACTTCAATCATTATCTTCTTTTTAGGCGTTTCCTGGATATGTTTTATACTTTCTTACACTTGGTTTACTTGAGAGAGTGTGTGTTTGTTTGCCGGTAGTGAAAGTTGTTCGGAAACTGTTTTCTACTGTGAAGGACCGTGAAGGAAATTAGATTCTATATAATTGATCAGGTTTCCTTTGATCCTTTGTACATTCTCCCTGTGATTCCAACACTGTGCCTCACTAAGCCTTTTGATTCGATCCCACCAAGCTCAGCAAGTTAGGTGCTCCAATACACCTTAGTGCGCAATTAGTGCGCCATGTGCCCAGGCTTGTACATGGCACAAAACGTGCCGCACGCCTACATCTCTGGGGACATTGTTGAGTCAGGATCCTCAGGTGTCGATGTAGCTGCCACGTGTCGCCTCCACAGGTGCGACGCGTGTCGCACATCCTCCCCCGGTCGCTCCGGTCGCTTTGTTCCGCTTTGTTGCGCACGTGCTGTACATGTTTCTGCTAGTTAAGAATGATGACAGCTGTTCTGCAAGCAGAGACATGTGATCAGGATTGGAAGGTCTTCCACTGTTTGGGTTTTCGCTGTGTTCCTTGGTCCACTTGGGCGATTCCCAGCAGCCGGTGCATAGGAGTTGAAAGCAGAACGTGAGGGACATGGCGTGTTTCAGGAACACTCACAACTATTCACAACCTACCATTAAAACAAAACTAAACCGACACAAAAACCGCAGTGCCCAAATATCAAACGAAGTGAGGAGTCAATAGTACATCAGTTGAGGCGTACCCATGTGTGCAGGTGTCAATGCTTGAGCCAAGCCTGAGGAAAACAGTATGGCCTGCGGGTCCGCTTCAGACCACTGAGGTGTATGGCCTGTTCAGACAACGTGGTGCGTGGTGGCCTCACTCCAAAATTCAAGGACACCGACCGTTTGCGAGTGATCATCGAAGGGAGATGATGTTCTGCGAGATGCGAGGAATTAGTTTGGGCCGAAGGATGAGATGCGTTTGCACCTGTTCCATCATCTTGCATTTTCACGAAGGCTCAAACGGAGCAGTCATGTAAACGTTCATTCATAGGATTTGATGTGCAGAATCGGAGTGTCCTCCTTTTGCTGCGCACCAACTGGCCAGGAGCATATTGAAACACAGCTTGACCTAGAGCCCTAGAACAAAACTGCTGCATTTGAGGTGGCAAAAGCATGGATACATCAAGTCAAGAAGAAGGGTCCATATAAATCCAATTGAATACATTTGAATACTATCAGATTATCAATCTCCAAGGGAACCATCTCCAAGCCGTTGAGGTAAGCCTTGAAGAAACTGGGACCGCCTGCGGGTAGTGATGCTGCGGGAGCAGAGGTTTGCGGCCACCAACTTGCCAGGACGTGGATGTTTTGTGCGAAATGCTGAACTACAAAGGCCAGAATGCCTCAAAGACATGCAAAACCATTAGACATTTGATGAGTTGCGTTTGATACATACGAAACTCATCAAATACCTTTCGTTGGATGAGCCTTTGGTCCGACCCACAAGACCACGAGGAAGGACAGTGAGGACGACACGGATGGTGCTGTTGATGGACGTCGAAGTTCGCGTTGTTTGGAATCCCCATGATCACGGCCTCACAAAGTCACTGCATTAGTTCATGTTGTTGTACGCAATAGAAGCTACTGGTAGCAAGGGCATCGCTACTAGCAACAAGGGCATTAATACTATATAGTAATCAATTAAGAACCTTCAGGTCAGGTGACAAAAGGCACAAAAGCCCAAAGGATTCCGTGCGGATCTCGAGGCGGTCCACCTGCGACCTTAGAACCTGTCGAGTGCCTTGCTCAGATGTGTGGTCCGATTCAGCTTACTGTATATACGTACAAGAGTGTTTTTATGACGTTATATTAGGTTGTTTACAATGTATTGTGGTGTGGTAGACCGAATGAAAAGATTACTGTACTACATTTGGGGCACGAAAAGTTATAGTATGTATTCATATATTTGGTTAGTCGAAATGAAGTGTGACGTTTGTATATATATATACCCTATGCATCCAACTGCATCCTAGGAAGTGTAGTTCGTCCCAGCAGATCCGCCTGAAACATCCCAAAGACCCGAGCATGGTCGATGAACATTGCCAAGCAATCACCCGTGCAGTTAAAGGTTCTGGATGTCAGCTGAGGCTGGAGAAGGGTATCCTGCTGTACTCAGATCCAGATATCCAGGATGGGACGTGTCTTTTGAACAGTCCCGCATGGTTTCCTCACCTGATGTGTCAAAAGGCTATGATTCAGGTCCCTCTAATTTGGTCTAAGCATCATGCCTCCTATGTTTCTTTTGTATGGGGATGTGGAGATGGGTCAAAATCAAACCAGAAATCATTGCTTCCATAGTGATCAGCCAGCTGACATGAGTTGAATCAGACCCTCTTCCTGAAAGACCAGCCAGGAGTTTCAAGTCACCCACCTGAGCATCCCCGAAGGAGGAACGGGGTTGGGTTGGATGGGGTGGAGTTGGGACAGAAGGTGCTCGCAGGCTGAGCAGGTATCAATCAGCTATGAGGCTGAGCAGTTTCAAGACCATTCTGGATCACTGGATATGGAAAGCAAGTGCTTGGAGGACAACAGAGTGCACTGTTGCATCTCTACATGGATCCATTGGATGGCAATCCATGGCCATTTGATCCAGGAAGACTGGACCGTGGGGCCTTCCCCATGGAACCGTTGTGTTCTTTGGGAATGGGTTTTCGGAGTTTTTTCTAAGAGTTTTTCAGGACGTGGTGTTGCTTTTTGCTACTGCTTTTGCATTTGCTTTTGCTTTTGCGCTTTTGCTTTTACATTTGCTTCTGCTTTTGCTTTTGAGCCTTTGCTTTTTGCTACTGCTTTTGCTTCTGCTGTTGCTTTTGCGCGTTTGCTTTTACATTTGCTTTTGAGCCTTTGCTTTTGCATTTGGTTTTGCTTTTGCGCTTTTGCTTTTACATTTGCTTCTGCTTTTGCTTTTGAGCTGTTGCTACTGCTTTTGGCTTTTGCATTTGCTCTTGCTTCTTCTTTTGACAGCTTGGAGTTAAATTAAGAAGAGGCAGGAGCCATTCTGAAGAGAAGGCGCCATTCCGTTCCACATAGCAGACCTTTAGTGAGCCACCAAAGAGTAAGCTTTAGAGGAACAAGCAGCAATGTGAGGTAGCTGGCCCTTTGTGGGCAAGTCAAAGATAAACATTTAGAGGAGGCTGGATTGAGCCACCCGAGGGCAGACACAAAAAGGGAAGGGGTCATTCCAACGCAGCAGACCTTCTGTGAGGTCTCCATTCCAACCTAGCAGACCTTTTGTGAGCCACCCGCGGTTACTTTTTAGAGAAGG